GCTGCCAGCACCAGGAGGGCATGGAGTTTCCTCTAAGCCTCTCTGTCCCAGAAACATCTGAACAAACACTGAGTGTGTGGAGGACAGTTTGGGGAATGCTTCACGTGCTTCCAAGCTGAGCGTGTTTGCCCTCCCGGGGTGAGCGTGGCTGGTCTGGGCTCTCATGAGGGGTTACCACCAGCAGCTGTAGGCAATGGGAAAGTGTCTTGTCCACAGAGAAACACTGGCTGCCTTTTCAACCGAAAAAGCCAAGCCCACTGCCCTCGATCAATTCAGACTCACAGCAACTCTATGTAGGGTTTCCAAGGCTATAAATCTTACAGGAGCAGCCTCATCGTTCTCCCACAGAGTAGCCGGTGGGTTTGAACCATTGACCTTATAGTTAGCAGTCCAGTGCTAATCGGACAGCAGCAGCAGGGATCCTTGTGGCTGGCTCTAGTCATTCTAAACCGGTGTCAATCTGGCACAGGTGAGCCCGGGCAGAGGTGTGTGCGCCTCCCCACCTGGTTCTTCTCCTCAGGACTGGTAGGCCAAGTGGCCTCTGGAGTATGGACCTCATATACCTTTAGGGAGGTACGACTGACTTCACATCATTATTGATAAAAGCAAGTTTTAAGGAGACAGGGTGCACCCCCCCCCCCAGGGAATTCATGTACACCCCAGGGAATTATCACCCCCAGGGGCTTGCTCAACCACTTGTCCACAGCTTTGCGTAGGTCCACCTTGCCCGACATGTCCACCACATGGTAGCCATGTGTGCAACTTGGAAGGCGGATGTCAAGGGCCCACCTAGAGGGTTTCTCAGAACATGCAGACCCTCCCGGGGGAAATCCTGTTGGTTGAACACCCCTTCTGGTTTCCACAGCGATGCTGCTGCTCAGCGGGGTCCTGGTCAGCGGGCCCTACGCACTGATCACCACCGCCGTCTCCGCCGACCTGGTGAGTGGCCACTCCTGCCTGGGTGTCTCGGGTTCACTGTCATTTCTGAGCGAGCCCGGGGTTCTTGTCCCTGCCGAGCGAGCCCGAGGAGAGCCTTGCAGTGCAGAGGCGTTGGGGAGCCCAGCTGCTCACCTCCTCCCTGTCCACCACGTCACTGACCCAAGGCAGCCGGTCTAGCCTGGCTTGGCCATCTGTGTGCTTGAAATGTACCTACAGTGGCTTTATGAAGTGTGTGCTTGGGCAGTTATGTATGTGTACATGTGTGTACATGCTTGAGCCTTAGGTGGGATAGAAAATTCCAGTAGGTCAGACGGGACTAGAGGGCAGAGACGGGCGTAGCGTGTGCTTTCCCTTACTGTGTCCAACGTGTGTGTACACATCACAGGTCCACACACCCCCCAGCACTGCCGTTTTAGAGGCTCAGACTGCCAGGCATTGTTTTCCTGGACACTCCCCACCCCCACCCCCACCACACACACCCCTCACTTTATTCTTTTTATTGCCCTTCAGTTTGTGCTGTTTGGGGCTTTTTGGTGGTGGTTATTTTGTTTTGTTTTCACCTTTTATGGGTGGCTTTATACAAAATCGAACCCTGGCGGTGTAGTGGTTACACGTTGGGCTTCTAACAGCAAGGTCAGCAGTTCGAAACTACTGCCATCAAGGTGGCATTCCTTGAGACTCACAGGGCATGCTACCCTGTCCTGTAGTGTTGCTTTGCCGGCATCGGCTCGACGGAAATGAGAGGGGATTTTAGAAGCTGGAGCTCCCGCTAGTTTGTCCGGAGGGAGTTGCACTCCTACGATGGGTCCTGGGGCTCTCTCCCCGTTCCTGACTTTGGCTGTTCGTCTGATTAAAGTTTAAACCACACAGCAGAGAGAGCCAGCATGCAGACAGGGGACACTAGTGCCATGCGTCCCTCTTTTCATGTGCCCCAGTGAAGCGTGCATTTGTGCTGAGTCAGTAGCTCCGTTTTGGAAGACAATGCTAAGATGTTTGATAAGCTAGCATTCACATGGGCAGGTGAATCGTTTTTACAACCGAAACCCACAGAAGCACGGCCTACCTTAACTGGGCACGTTTGGGAATGCGTAGAGCTTAAGTTTTCCAATGGGCTGAATGGCTTGGCAGGGTGATTCGAGTCTGTCGTCCGGAGGGAAGACGAGGTGACGGCTCTGCTGCAGTGCTGCTGAGACAGCCCTCGCCTGCCTTTCCCTCTCTTCCAGGGGACCCACAAGAGTCTGAAAGGAAACGCCCATGCCCTTGCCACTGTGACTGCCATCATCGATGGGACCGGCTCTGTGGGTACGTGGAGAATCAAAGCTCCCAGAGGGCATGTTGGCCCAGGGACACCAAATTGCCTCATCCCAATGGACCCATCACCAGGAATCCGGTTGCCTGGGCAATACGAGGGTCAGCTGACCTTCTTTCACTATTACAACTGCAGTGAGCCCAGGGGAAGTTGTCCTGAGGCCAGAGGAGGGTCAGTGTGGTGGGGTGGACTAGGAGCTGGATGGGTGTTTGACTGGGGCTAGTCTGCCTTAGGAGGTGGGTGGGTGTTTGTGACAGGGACTAGTTTTCTTCAGCGTGTGAGATGTTTCAGGTTTTCCTCTAAACCACAGATTGGCAGACTGTGGGCTAAATGTAACCTGACTTAACTGGCAGTGGCAGGACAACCAGTGCTCTGAGGGCACACCCCACTCTGAGTGGTCTCAGCCTCAGGGAGGACCAGGGAGAACATTGGGCAGCCTCTTCTGGGGCAAAGAAAGGTGACCGAATCGTCCGCTTATCCTCTCATCAATGGGCGGTGCGATTGCTCCAAACGCCCAGCCTGTTCTATCAGCAAGTCACTGAGAGTGGCCGCCATGTCCTTGCCTCTAGCCTTTGAGCAGGGGGCCTGGGCACTGTGGACCCCTCTGCTGAGGTCCCCAGAGCAGCCCTGGGTTAGGCCCTTCCAACTGCTGCCTCCCCTCTGTGTAGGGGGGTGGAAGCTCAGGGTGGTCTACTGGTGGGTCCCCACCCCCCAGCTGGTCCTGAAAAGTCTGGGATCGGAAGGTTCTGGCATGTCTCCTGCTGTTCCATCCCAAAGCCCCGCAGGAAGGGTGAGTGAGTAGGACCGGTGGAGAGGACCCTCAGGGGTGGTCTGGGCTTGGAACCTCATGGCAGTGCCAGACCAAGGCAGTGCAGATGGTCTAGCAGCAAAAGCACAGAGAACGAGAGCCAGGACTCAGCACTGCCACTGTGCTCAGCCAGAGGAAACGGGTTTAGCTCTGGCCTGCTTCCACAGCCCTTGATGCAAGCCGGGCAGGAAACCCAACATGGTGTGTTTCTCCGACACCCATCACACTCTCCTTCATGCAGATCCTGAAATCGTTCCCATCCCTCCTCACGCCTTAGTCCAGGGAGCTGCACAGCCTCCCTGCTGCTCCCTGAGAGCCCCAGGCGTGGCCTCGGTGCAGCTCCCTGGGCCTGGGACACCGGTCTTGCTTCCTTGTGCCACGGAAGTGTGGGGTCACCTTTCCCCTCTTATAAAGACCTCCCAGGCCGTGTGGGCCCCTCCTCTCTTCTCAGTCAGCCTCGCTCCGTAGCACTGGCCACCTTCTCATTAACTCACTTGCTATGTGGTGGTCTGGGCTCTCTCCACTGAACGTGGAAAATTTGTGAAGACAGAAATTTTGCTCCACTTACTCACTGCTGTCTATCCAGTTGTGTTAGTCTGGGTAGACTAGAGAAACAAATTCATAGACACACTCATGTGTATAAGAAAGAGCTTTATATCCCAGAGCAATAGAATATTAAGAAAACATGCCAGACCAGGCCAGATCAAGTCCATAAGCCCAATATTAGTCCATATGTCCAATACTAGTCCATAAATTCCTCTTTAGACTCACACAGCCATGCAATAATGCCGAATGCAGGAAGATCACAGGCCAGTGGGTAGATAGTCGTGTGGATCCAGTGGTGGTGGAAGCATCTCAGCATTGGCGTGGGTCTCCATATGGCTCCTCTAGCTCCCAGGGCTCTTGCTGCCATTGGGGTAGCTTCATGTGTCTTGTCAGTAGAGAGTCTCTCAGGGAGTGAGCGTCTGTCCCGCCTCCAGCAAGCTATTTATCTCCTTAGGGCCTCCAAATGAGGTCATCAACCGTCGATCTGATCAACAAGCTAAACTCCACCCCTTCACTCTTAAGTCTCAAATTGACAACAGATTATGTAACTACCACACCAGGACTGAAACAGCGTCCAGAACTTTGGTGGTGGTGGTGGTGGCGGTGGTGGTGGCGGCGGCTATCCAGTTGGCTCTGACTCACGGTGACCTTATATTGTAGCAGAACAAGACCTGACGCCATGCTGTCCCATGGTTGTTGGAGCTCTTGAGGAGTGCCCCCATTTTCACTGGCCAACACTCCCAGACAGGAGTCCTCTTGCTCTAGCTAGTCTTTCCTGATGAAGTGTCCAAAGTAGGAGAGCCAAAGTCCCAACTCCTTCACTTCTCAGAAACGCTCTGGCTGCGTGTCATTGCTGAGTCGGGCTGGTATGTTCTCTTAGCCGAACACGTGTGCTCAGTATCCTTCATCAGCCCCGCAGTCCGGAGACAGCCGTTCCTTCTCTGCCTTCTCCACCATCAGCTTTCACACGCATATGAGGCGATGGAAAACACCGTGGCTTTGATCGCATCAAAATGACCTCTTTGCTTTACGAAACGTCGAAGAGATTCTTTTGCAAAACATTTGCCCGGCGCAGTATGTCGCTAGATTTCTTGATTGCTGCTTCCATGGGCATGAATCGTTGATGTACAAAGAATGGAATTCTTGGCTAGTTCAGATTTTCTTCTACTTGTGGTGTTGTGAGGATTTTCCTTTCTGTGTAGGTAGAGTTCATGCTAGAGCCTGTACCTTTGACCTTCAGCAGTAAGTACCTCAAGTCATCCTCATTTTTGTCCCACAAGCTTGTGTCATCTGCATCTCTCAGGTGGCCGCTGAGTCTCCTCCTTCACGTGGTCCGGCTGCATAAAGTACTTGTGCAGCACACAGATTGAACAAGCTATCTGAACGGGGTCAGCCCTCAGTAAAGGAATGCTAATGATTTGGCCGGCTGGTTTAGAGTACCTAGAATTAGAGCCGGGGCCAGGAGGTATCAATTCCAGGCTGTTGAGTTCACAGGTAAGGGCCTGGTCAGAGAGGCACCAGGGCACCCCGCAAGCCACTCCTTCACCAGGCAGGGTGGCCTGTCTCTGGGTCATAGTAACCCCAGGCCCATGCTCCTGCTGCCATGTCCAGAGATTCCCAAAGCTTGCCTTCTTCCATGAGAGATGATGCCTGTGCTGAGAAGGACTGGGCAGGCCCAGGGTGAAGGCTGTCCATCTCTGGTGGTCCAGAGGGCCCATCTTTGGCTTCTAGTTCACCAGTGTCATACCTGCCCCGTCGTGGCCCTCCATAGAGACGGCTTCACCTTGTTGGGTCCAGGAATGGCTAGGAGTTGTTGGACGGTGTGAATGGGCATCCCTGTGTTGTTTCCAGGGGAGCCTTTCTCCCCTGGACATGTCTTGGTAGCAGCAGGGATGAAGGAGGACCTGAGCCACATGGGGGTCCCTGAGGTGGTTGCCATCAGGAGCTCAGAGCTCCTGCCTGCAGACTCCTGGCTCGGCGGTCCACCAGGCGCACTGTGCAGTCTGCAGGCCCACTCCCTGGGCGTCAGGAGGCTCCTGCACTGGGCGTGCGTCTAATGAACCGTGGGGCATTGAACAGCCTTCTCTCTGCCTTCTGCCAATGGAGGTCTTTGTCTGGGAATCACTCTGTCCCCCACTGTGAAACCCTTTTAGGAAAGTTAATTTGGAGCACAGCTGGCAGCCCTGGTTGCTATTTTAAAGCAGACCAGGGGAATACAACAAAGAGAGGGAAATTATGAATTAGATGGAAAAACACATTTCCTTGAATACTCCTCCCCAAAAGGCAAGGAGGTGGAAATCCTCCGCTCAGGGTGGGCTGAGGCCCTGCATCTCTCTGTAGAGGGCAGGAGGGAGGCCCACGGCCCACTGAGCACAGTTCTAAGTGCCGTTTTCGGTACCCAGAAGGCAGGCAGGGGTACACGGTGCCATCACTGACCCTTTCACGATGCTGCACGGAACACAGAACCATCCAGATGCCTCGCCACCCACCTTGACCTCGGCAGCCCTCACACATCCGCCTGTGGGGATCCAGCCGCCCCGCTGGCGCTCGGCTGCCCTAGCGCACCGGGGGCTGATGGATCACCATGGAAACGGCAGTGCACGCTGTCATTACTCCCTCCAGAAAGGCTGCCCAAGGAGACGAGGGCAGAGAGACCCGTGGGTGGAAATCAATGCCCGTCGTTCCAAGGCAGAAAACCAAACTTCCACTCACAGGGGAGTCCATCCCGTTGCGTTAGGGTTGGAAACGCCCCCGAGTGGCCGTGGGTCAGGAAGCCAGGGTTGACTGGCAGTCTGTGGTCACTCGGCGCCTTCTCAGAAGTCGCCAGAGCGCCATTTGGTTCGGCAGCACCGGTTTACCTGTTCGCGGCGTTTGCAGGGTTGGCAGTGACATCCTGGTGTGATGACGCAAAGCGTGCCATTTCTATAGATCTCGGCTACGAGTCAGCGTTACCTGTAACTGTAGGTGCCGGATTGTCTGATAGGCGTTTTCTAATGAACGTGACTTCCCCCATCCTTGCTCCTTAAGCTCTCTGTTTGTGGAAGCGGTGACCCTCAACCCTTTCTTCCTGGATCCTCTCAGTTTACGTATTTCGTGATGTGTCGTTAAGACCCTCCTGACATCCCTGTTCATCCTCGTTGATGATCGTGGCCATGTTGATACTGTTCATTCTTGAACCTTAGCGATCCCCCCTCCTCCAACAGATGCATTTCTGTTCTTTCTTTTGTTCCAGTTCTGTGGCCTTGCCCCCGCCCTCCCCAGCAGCGCCGTCAGATTCCTCTCCTTGGCCCCTCTCACCCCACCCGCCCCTCCCGTGAGGGCCCTCCACAGCCACCTGCTGCCCACGCTTCGACAGGGCCTTTCCTCTCTTGCCTACACGGGGCTCCTGGCTGCTAGATGCCAGGCTTACCTCTCGTAGCTTCCTGTGTTGTGGTTCGCCGGAGGTAAGTTCCGAGAGCCTGCAGGTCTGAGGTGCCCTTGTTCCGTCCTCTCCCTTGATGGGCAGTTGGTCAGGGCGGAGGGTCCCGGGTTGGGAGTCCTTTCCTTCTGAATGACTGCAACCTCCCATTGCCACTGTGGGGTCGTCCCGCAATGCTCTTAGCCCAGTTCTTCCTCGATGACCTCGTTTCCCCTCCACCTTTGCTTATCCCTGCAGCCTTCGCATTGCGTGTGCCGTGGGAACCGGAGCCTGCTCAGGCTGGAAATCCAGGCCCCTCATGTCTGTTTCTGGGTTTCCTCTCCAGAGAGCTGATGGTCAGCTGATGGGCTTGCTTTCTTTCACGGCACCCGCCTTCCTGCCCGTCTCCTTGTTCTTGTCTTGTTTCCGTAGATGTTCACGACATTATTTTCTACCTTTGTACTGCCCTGTAAGTAAGGTCATCAGGATGATCCGCCCTGTGAGCACGCCTCTTCTGATTTCTTAGACGCCGATATGAAACGGCCAATATTTGAACAACAGCTATTAAGACAGGAGTTTTGCGTGGTTCCTCGTGGTTTATCGAATTCCCTCTGGTCTCTCTGAGGCCACTCTCCTTTCCCTAAAATGTTCTTCTCCCTGGGCTCCCTGGTTCTTCTAGACCAGTGGTTCTCAACCTTCCTAAAGTCGAGAACCTTTCATACAGTTCCTCATGTTGTGGTGACCCCCCAACCATAAAACTATTTTTGTTGCTACTTTATAAATTTGCTACTGTTAGGAATCGGTGACCCCTGTGAAAGGGTCGTTCAATCCCCAAAGGGGTCGCGGCCCACAGGTTGAGAACCACTGCTCTAGGTTCTCCCTGCCCTCCGTTTGTTTGTTTTTGTATTAAAGCAGCCCAGTTTTCATATTTACAAAGATACCACTGTGTTAGTCTGGGTTGACTAGAGAAAGAAATTATGTATGTGTGTAAGAGAGAACGTGAGATCAAAGAGCCATCCATACACACATCCATTGTGTCAAGCACATTTGCACACTTGTTGCCATCATCATTCTCAAAACATTTGTTTTCTACTTGAACCCTTGGCATCAGCTCCTCCTTTTTCCCCTCCCTCCTCCCTCCCCCCTCTCTCATGAACCCTTGATAATTTATAAATTATTATTGTTTTGTCCTGTCTTATACTGTCCAATGTCTCCCCTAACCCACTTTTCTGCTGCCCGTCCCCCAGGAAGGGGGTTCTATGTGGATCCTTGTGATCAGTTCCCGGATCCACAGGATTTATGATGCATTCTTCCTTCTCTACCTTTCCTCCTCCTCCCTCCCCACTCGCTCTCTCACGTGCACACACACCTCTGCAGACACATGCTCATACTTACACGCATACACATGCATACTGCTTTCTGAACTAAGAGTAAGAGGCATCCACACTGCCCGGCCCCTCACTACTTTAGTGTCTGTCTCCTAAAAAGAAGGAATGATCCCGTGTCACCAGAGTACAAGGGTCAGAATCAAGAAAGGAACTTTGGCACCGTATTCAGAGTTACAGACCCGATTGCACCTTGAATGCCTACCGTGCTTCTTTATAATAAATTTAACTTTGTAAATAATAAACTTAATAGATTTTTATTTTAAAGTAATTTTTAATTTCATGAGACTGTTTGAACACATGAATGAACATTATTAATACCATATATTAAATCTTTTTCAGTTGTGTTTCCAGAAAATCATTGAGCCAATTGTCCCTAATACCAACTTATGTTTTATCTTTTTCTCATAGCCTTTGAGTTCATTCGGACACATAAGCAACCCTCTCAGACAGACCTCATCAGTCTGCTAGTTGAGAGTGGGTTTTATTGCGCTACCATGTTGATTGGTTGGTTTCTCATTATGAACGGGGTGTCCAGCATCTTTTATATGTTGACTGGGCTTGGGTGTGGGAAACGTCACGTGTTAGTGTTTTCCTTCAACACACCGTGTATGTCCGTTTGCGTGTTTCAGGAGCAGCCTTGGGCCCTTTGCTGGCTGGGCTCATCTCCCCCTCTGGATGGAACAACGTGTTTTACATGTTGATGTTGGCAGATGCCTGTGCCTTATTGGTAAGTCCTCTCACTTTAATCCAAGCAGCGCTTAAGGAGCAGCATCTCTTGAGAGTGGCTGGCCAGACCCTTCTGTGGACACTCCCCACCCACCCCTTTCCCATGACACATCCCAACAGATGGCCCTTCCCTAAATATGCCTGGAGGAGAAAAGCTTCCGTCTGGTTTGTTTAGAATGCTGGAAACAGGCTGCCGGTCCACCTGCTGCCCTGGCGTCTTCGGCAGGGTGGTGTGGGTGCTGAGAGCCTGGGGCGCCCTGGTTTAGAATGCCGGCACAGCCCACTCCCCTGTGTGCAAGTTACTTAACCTCTCCGCCTGCAGCTTCTGTGTTTTCTATGGGAATGTTAATAGTACCCAAGGAATTATCCCAAATAACCACAGCACAATGGTCAGAATCAAGGAACTATTGTCTGGATTCAAGTCTGGATGACCGGAGATAATGGGCAGTGTCTGGCCCCTTCTGTGGTGGCCATTGCTGTCCTAGTGTCCTCCTGCTGGTCAAGTCCTCGCTGGAGGAACACCGGACTCCCTTTCTCCCAAAGGTGTGGGAAAGGGATAAAGGAGCAAAGAGGGTGCCAGTGTGGGCACGGAGCTGCCTTCTGTCTCCCTGTTTCCTGGCATCCAGCTTCTCCACGCTTCCTGTCTTGAGAAAACTCAAGGGTTCCTGCAGGTTGGGGAAGACGTGGATGATGCTGACTGTCACACTTGCATTCTGCATCTGAGGGTGATTAGCGTCTGCTTCTCCTTACCTGGCTGCCCATGGTCCCCAAACTTTAAAGCCATGCCTCTCTTTCTCAGCCAGAAAATAAGCTGGGGTTGATCCCGATTTTTAAAATCCTGCTAGAACTAGCAACTATATCATGAAATAAAACTTTTGTATTTTAATTTCAGGAGCCCCTAAAAGACAGCTTCCCCATTGCGTGCAGAATAAAATACCATATCTCAATTCATGAGCCTATTAAAACTTAATGATTTGAGACATGGTACACGACCCTGGTGGGGTAGTGGTTATGGTTGGGGCTGTGATGCACCAGGTCAGCCGTTTGAAACCACCAGCCATTCTGAGGGATAAAGACGGGGCTTTCGAGTCCTGTCTTGGAAACTCGCAGGAGCAGTGCGACCCTGTTCTAGAGGGCCGCTATGAGTCAGTTTTGACTTGATGGCAGTGAGTTTGGTTGATTGGTTGTTTTTCTTCAATTAACTTTTAAAATCATGATGCTCAGACCATTTGTTTTATAAGTGTCTACGTAGCTTAGTTACAGACCTGGGTGCACTTCCACTAAGTAACAGTAAGAGGCCTGTCCCCATGATGGTTTAGTGTCTCTGAAAATTCTTCTGCTTCAGAAATTCTGGGTAACATATGTCAGAAACCCTTCTCAATGAATATATGGACTTTATAACAAACTCAGGAAATAGCCAGGAGGCAGAAAATGTAGCGCCAACCAAAAACGAGTCCATAGGTTGATGGCAGCACTGCCCTGCTGCAAGTTACCAACCTTAGGAACCTAGGCCTGGAGTGGTCATGTCCATGGGGTGTCGGGCTAGCCCACAGGGAAGTTGGAACTGGAGCCGGGGGTCAATGAAATAAGGGCCGCGTGCTTCGTGGAGGGTGTGGCAGGCAATGTGTATCCACCTTAGCCTGGTCACCAGATGGGGAACAAGATCCATTGGCATTTGGGACTTGTCCGTAGTTGGCATTGTTTCAAAATTTATGTTACCAAAGTACAAAAAAGCCAGAGAAGAAAATAGGTTGGTCCTGGGGTGACGGGTGATGTACGTGACTCCCGGGCAGAAGAAAATCCCAAACCATTTGAGGGAAATCTCAGCCCAGGTACACAACTAAACCGTCACAATCCCAACCTGGGAATGGCGCGGAATCGCTCCACTGGGAAGGAGAGTGGCCGTGGACGCCACAAAGAGTGGAGCGAGGCCTCCTCCCACCGCAGGTGCAAGAGTGACCAGATGAACTTCAGAAATGGTCGGTCGGCTTATTTTTATAGACAGGAGCGGAAGAACTGGCTCCTGAGAAAAGACTAAGACACTGCAAAAAATAAAACAAGGAAACACAGCTCCTTTGAGAAGCCACCAAAGAGAAGACAGAGAAGTGAAAAAGGCGGTCGGTCTTTAGCGGAAAAACATCGTCAGGGGATGAGTTTCTGAGTCAAATTACATACGTCTCCAGACCGAATTACATAAAGGGGGTCTAGAGAAGAGACTTCTCTAGAATGCAGCACACCGTGAAGAGGTGGAAACACTCAAAAGACTGAACAGGAAGTGGAGGACCAAGGAGTCGGCCGGAGAACATGGTCGTTTCCTTCTTGTTCCACGTCTCTTAGCGATCTGCTGTCCCTAATCGTAGCTGTCCTCCTGCGAGCACCCTGGAGGACTGGATGGGGGTTATGGTGCTGGTGAGGTAACCGGCTCCCACTCCCCAAACACGCAGCTAGAAGGTCAAATTCACGGTGATGAAATTGTGTAACAATAATGTTCCCGCCCTTGATTCTGTAGCCACGGAAATGTCCCCACCCCCACACCCCAGGACAATCGTAATAAATGCTCCTCAGTGTTTGGAGCAAAGCGACGTTTTATCTGTAGGAGAAATATCTGTGCTTTTTTTCACCCCCCTCACCTGAGCTCATATCATGTGGGGCTTCTCAGCTGCTACTTGAACAATTGGCATCTTAGAAAAGAACCTTGCATGCCCTCCAGAGCTTTGGCCCAAGGATGGAGAGTGCTGTTTGCGCAAAGGCCTCTGGGTGCATGTGTGCTTGTGACACACGCCCAGGGGCCCAGCTCCAGCACC